AACCACATTATTGGCCGCAAATATTCAGTAATCAAAAGCAACTATGTAACTTTATAAATCAGATTATCAGCATTTCTACATTCATATTGGATAATCCCGAGAACTCGATAATAAATGAAGATAATAGCAAAAATGTGAAGGTCGATGTGAATCTTTCCTGGTATCCATCGATTCTCATTTACCAAAGTTCAAATGATAGAACTCTGTTTTTCCTTTCATGCTGGAGATACTTCTAGCAGAAACCACCAGAAATGCTCCACAGATATTATAAAGATGATCATATCATCGACCCCAACTATTTTGGGATTGAGGCACATTTGATTGATTGACTGAAAATGAATGGCACAAAGCGGAAATGTTCATCACCTGACAGTGATGTCTTGACATAAGTCCTGTTGATTCTGGCTTTTTCCATGTATCAGTAACATCAAGTATATAAATTTCAACAGGAATAACGGAAGCATCCCAGTCAACATATTTGATAGTATACTTCAGGTACAAGCTTCTCTCGAGACCCTCAAACCCTTTTCCAACTCTGCATCTTGTTTCATCATAACAACATCTCAAGCCTCCAATATAATCTGGTCCTATATCCCGGTTATACTCATCCTTTGTAACATTATAAAGATCACACCTGCACTCTGTGCATCCTAGCCTATCTTCAGAACCTCGTGTATCAATCGCATGCACATTAAGCAACCATCTCTCCTCATATCCAGGAGGTACTTCTCCTGGATTACCAACTTCTATGCCATAAGGGTCTAGAACATATGTTGCTGTTTTACGAGTTTCAGACCCAAAGCCAAAATATTGATAAAGATCCCTTTCACATATCCCTGAGTTACTTGCTATAATAAAATCAGAGTTTTGGAACCTCAGATCGCCATGGTACTTTGACACCTTAACACCTTTTCGTTGATAATATCTTACAACAAGCCAGTGGTGGAGATATGTTTCATGAAGAGGAACTGGATTCCATGCCTCATCAACTACTTCAGCATTAAAACTTTTGATAGCAATATGGCCTTTCGGGAAAGCTATGTGGTAGTAAAATTTGTTACATACTAATCCAGGTTCCAACACAAATTTTGGTGATCGGAAAACGGAAGTTTTCACCTTGTTTTAATTTCTTAGTTGAGTCTGCAAACTTGGGCTAATCGCTATTAGCAGTAGGACTGCCAGCACAAGCAGCTGATACTTTAATTTGCTCGTCATCTTTTTCACTTTCCCAATTCACTTCTTGTTATGATATCTGAGAACTGCGCTATTTCAACATGTTAGCAATCCATGGGTTTAAGTTCTAGAAGTTTTGTGAGTTAAGAAAGTCTTATAGCTTTGTCGTCTAACAATAGTAGTTCCTACGCAGATTACTCGATTCACAGACGCTTGTTCGTTATATCGTGATTGCTGACAAAAAGACATCAGGTGATGCTATGGATAGACAAAGGGTGTCTTGGTATGAGATATTTCCAATGTTTGATACTCTGAATTGTGGAAATACTTCTACAAGGAAAATGTTCTGCACCAATATATGGAAAATGTCTTCCCACTTATGGGGGACAGGGTAGTCATTTTCAATAACAATAACATACCCACAATATTCTCACAAGTAGGGTCTGATGAGGGTAGTGTGTATGCAAAACTTACCACCTTGTGAAGGTAGAGAGGTTATTTCTGATAGACACTCGGCTCAAGAAAAACATAATCGCAGCAATTTAGATAAGTAAATACAGCAAATGAAAATCCATGTAAAGAGAAGCACTAGCCATAGCTAGAAAAAAGATAACTGAAGCAAAAGAAATAAGAAAAACATAATCGCAACAGTTTAGATAAAGAAATACAGCAAAGGAAAATCTATATATTATTAAAAGGAGAGGAAAAAACCCTCTCCTTAAGCCAAGTGACAGCCTAGAAAAAAGCCACATGGCATAAGTAGTTAATAATTAGTTATTTAGTTAATAATTAGTTATTGGTTTTTTTTGAATTTAAATATCTATAAAATCTATATATTATTAAAAGAAGAGGAAAAAGCCCTCTGCTTAAGCCAAGTGGCAGCCTAGAAAAAAGTCACATGGCATAAGTAGTTAATAATTAGTTATTTAGTTAATAATTAGTTATTGGTTATTTTTTTGAATTTAAATATCTATAAAATAATAAAATAAAATGTTTTATAATAAAAAACGAAAATTAAAAAAACACTGTCCATTCAAATTGGAGAGTAGTTTCAAGTTGGAGTTTTTAAATTATTCATTAAATTTCATATAAATTCTGTAGAACAATTGGATAAAATTTAAAATTTTAAAAATATTTCAAGAGTAATACAATATATATCTTCTATTATATTATAAAAAGAAAGTAGTAGACAAAAATATTAAACAAAGTAATATGCTAATAAAAAATTCTATTAATAATGCAATTATATTAAATATTGGATAATATAATAAAGAAAAATACATAATAACAAAAGTTATTCGATGACTATATAAGTCCCTTTAATTTAATAGAGATTTTATTCATTAAAATTTAGATAATATTATTGACAACAACAAAATAAAATTTAAAATAATTTTTTTAATATATATATATATATATATTCTCTTATATTACAAAAAGAAAGCGAGCAAACAAAAATATTAAACAAAGTAATATGCTAATAAAAATTTCTATTAACAATGTAAAAATACTAAACATTGGATAATAGAATAAAGAAAAATATAAAACAAAAAAGTTATTCAATGACTATATATGTCCCTTTAATTTACTAGCGATTTTATTATTGGGTATATCATATTGATAAATAAGATGACAATTGAAATTTATTAAAGCAATATGATATAATATGTTCAAACAAACCTGATCACAATTTAATTTAATTAATATTTTTTAATATTGGTCGTGCATCGCGCGGGTACCACTACTAGTTCATGTAAAGAGAAGCAGTAGCCATAGCCAGAAAAAAGATAAATAGAATGTAGTATTAAAAATCTAAGAATAGGAAATACGAGAATACACTAGTACTATAGGCATATAAAAACAATACAGGTAAAAGAATTACGCTCGACTACTTACTAACCTACTACCCTAATGCTGGATCTCCACACCCTCCTGTCAAGGGTGAAGTCCTTGGCAAACTGAAAAAGTGTCATGTCCTCCCCAATCACCTCTCTGTAATACTTCTTTGGCCAACATCTACCTCTCCTTGGCCCCACCATAGCCAACCTCTCGCACCTGCTCACTTGGGCATCTGTGCATCTCCTCTTCACATGCAGTCTCACTTCACGCATCTTGTCCACCATGGAGGCCGCTCCCACCTTGTCCCAAATATCTCCATTCCTAATCATATCTCTCCTATTATGCCCACACATCCATCTCGCTACTTTCATCCTCTTGACATGAGAGGAGTCATTTTCCTTTACAAAGATTTCCACTCTTACTCCATATCACTTGCTAGGCATAATTATCAATAATAATATTTCAAAATTAAATAATACTATCAAAACACTATCATCATACCCTATCCTCTAGCTTATACAATTACTGTGTCACCTACAGCTCAAAACTTGGAAAATGCTAGTAGTAGTAATAAAACAATCTACCAAGGTAAAAGTTTTTCCACATAAAGTATTTTTCATCCATACCAAGCGCATCAAAAGGGAAACGTACGTAACAACATGAAAGATAAATTTGTTTAGCATGATATTCATATTTCTTTATCCCATCATACAAAAAGAGAGGAAGAGAAACTAACCTGATATGGTGTTTAGGGTAAAGAATCCCAAACGGACGAGCTTTTCTCTTCGAAATGCATACCGTGGAATTCCCAAACGAAAGTCGAAACTAGAAATTTTGAACTTTGATTTTTTAAGGAGATGTGGAGAGTAGAGACGGCAACAACAGAGATAGGTGTTCACAGGAAGACACGTGTCACTTGCAAACAGCCCTGGCAAAGGAAGAAAACAAAACATAGACAAATACAATGTATTGTCGCTCCACAACTTCTAATTTATCCCTTTCGTCTCAAATGTTAATAGTGATTTTTTTTCTAATGTATCCAATTTATATCAACCCAAATAAAAAAAGAAATATTTATTTGCAATAGCTCACAAGTTACTTTGCAAGCAGCGAAGCTTACAAGTAGCTTGCGACTGTGAGAAGCTTACAAACTATTCTATAGGCAGGTTTTTAAGCAGCTTCTTAAAGTAATTTACAAATAGCTTTCGCAAGCAGCTAAATTAATAATTATGTATTCAGCTTGAAAGTAAAATATTTTATCAGTCTCTCTCCATACTTTTTAAATGTGTTACTTTAGAGTTTTATTTTATACTAACGCATTATTAACACAAAAATTATTTGGTTGAAAAATAAATTATTCAAGATTATAATAGCGTGCAATGATGATATAAAAATTAAATAATAGAAATAGAATTATTCGATAAATATATTTTTATTGTTAAATATTTAGTTTATTAAATTAAAAATAGGATATATGTCCGGTTTAAACTAAATAAATTGGTAAATCTTATTTTAAATTTTATTTTAACATGGTTGTTACATATTATTTCATGATGTATTATATTGTATTGTAACGTATCGTTTGATGAATACAATGTTTGTATAAATTGTATTATTTGCCATTGTTTCATGATATCACGCATCATTAATATGAAAGAATAAACTTATAATATTTTAAAGAAAAATTATGATACATGGTATAATTATTATATAAAAAGATAAGGTAAATGAGAAAATAAAAGTATTTAATAATAATTAAGGTTAAGATAAGAGAAAAAGACAAGATAATGACGCGTTCATACCAAATCGATCCTTATATAAAATGGTATATTTTGCCGTTACGCAAATTTAATGATACGATATAATAAAATTCAAGTAATAATCAAAACAAATATTATATTTAAAGTAACAATACGATATAATAGACGTGTAAGCTTTAAAAGATAAGCATTGAAGAAGGACAAATATCTTATTATATGTTATTTCATTATTACGGAAAGAGTAGCACCGTAGGAACGCGAGGGTTAGCTCTAAAGTCTGAAACCAAAGCAAAATCTGGAAATGAGTACTGAGCGAAACAAGAGAGTAGAATAGCTAGAGCTCTGAACAAGGAATTAATGGGTAAAAAGGAGAGAGCGCAAGAGAGAAGAGAGAAGCGACGACAAGAAATATCTCTTCTCCGTACCATTCCTTATTCTGATCACCAAAGGTCCGATTTTTATTTTCACTTTTAAGTTTCCACAAATTTCACCTCTTTATGTTTGTTTAAGATCCTATTTCATATTAAGGAAGTGTTAATTACGGTCTAATTGGACTGTCTTTTGATCCATGAAAAAGTTTTCTTGACATTTTTGCATTTTGTACTTAACTGGGTCAAACATAATCATTCAAAGTGTTTAACTGTTAAGTGCTTAAAAGAGCCTATTTTCCCCTGTAGTTTAAGCCTATGATTTAACAAAAAATCAAGATAATAGATGTCCCTTACTTAGATAGAAAAATTATGAAGAGGAAATAGTGTGTAGATGATGGAGCAGTCTCTAGCATATTCAATTTTAGCTTCTTATGATTTTGGGGATGGTTTCATTTTGCATACTTGCTCTGAAGCTTAAACGAGATATGCTGAAGCATTTTAACTTCGAATGTACTGCTACATAATTGGTCTACATGTAATATGTTTCACACAGAAGTTTGTCCGTTGGAATAAGTGACCCCCATAAGCTCGAAACACTTAGGAAGGCTTTTCCAGATAAACGTGCATGAGATACTCAATAACGCACATTTGTTTATCTTGGAGGTGTTTTAAATGACGATTGTTCGCATGTAAACAGCTGTGCACTGCAAGTTCAACTACCTGGATGCAGTTTTGGATTCTGATAAAGTGCCCGTCATATCATTCTGTTAATGTCTATTTTTGTTACTATGAGATAAGACTTGCAACAATGTGAAGGAATTTAAGAACCTTTGGCGTGAAGGAATTTAGGAACCTTGTTCAATGAATAGAAACCTAATCCTGTTATACACACTGCATTTATTCTGCATGGTTGCTCCAGCATTTTAGATGGAAAAATGAGCCTGTTGATTATAAAATCGTCTTAATAACATATTTAGAAAAACTATGAAGATTATTTTATTTATGTTGCAATTAGTTTTCTTACATTATCCAGAAGGTGGTTTTGTACTTCATCTCTGCAACAGATTTTAGACTTCCTGTGAATCATAATACACGTATACTGTCCGTACATGGGCAAATGATCAGTTCTTTGATTCAGTTTCCAATTAGTCATGATAGTGAACCAAGATGATACTCCCTAGCAAAGCGTCTTGATAATCTTTTGACTATTTATGCTGTTAGAAGATCTAAATAATCACCATATCAACTGTATAACTATCGAGCTGTTATATGGTTCATTCAGTCAAATTGATTCGTCTTAAGATGTCGATTCCGAGCATTACACTTATAGACGGCAGATGGTTTACAGATGGTGGTCATCTGACTCTATTGCTGTTGTGACTGGTGCAAATAGAGGAATTGGAGTTGAAATTGCTCACCAACTGGCATCACATGGCCTAACGGTACTTCTTACATCGCGAGAAACTCGTGTTGGTGAAAAAGCAGCAAAAGTCATGCAAGAAGGAGGTTTGAATGTGGTATTTCATCAATTGGACATTGTGGACCCAGCATCAATTCAATCATTATCTGATTGGATAAAAGAAAAACATGGCGGTTTAGATATACTGGTACTCCATCTACTTTATTTTCTCATTATGGGCTAGCATTGGTAGCATATGCAACCAGATTGGTTTTCAATAACTTACTGATATTTAAATGGTGCATGATTTTCTGGTACTTCTTTGTCTGTATGTGCTCTTTGTGTTTATTTTTCAATTTTCTTTTTTCTTTTTAGGTGGGGGGTGGAGGGTAAAGAGAAGCAAGAGGGGGGCCATTATGCTATAGTTACCGTTGCTTTGCTTTCATTTTGTTATCATTTTTGTTTGTTCTCTTCTGGGATTTTACTGGGTTGTTGCTGTTGTTGTTGTTGTTTTGTTTGTTCACTGTTTTTGGCGAATCTGGCCCTTCGGCTAATGATATGGAAATGTTTAGATCAATAATGCAGGAGTCAACTTCAATTTCGGCTCAGATAATTCAGTTGAATTTGCAGAAACCGTTATAAAGACCAACTACTTTGGCACCAAAAGTATGGTTAAAGCTATGATTCCATTAATGAGGCCTTCTCCTTTTGGTGCTCGTATTGTTAATGTGACCTCACGATTGGGAAGACTTAATGGCAGACGGAATGTAAGTGCCATAGCATTCCTTTTCACTCTTGTTATTCTTCTCACTCTATTTGTCCTTTTCATCTTGCTTTAAATCTTTTTGCAATTCTCAAGGTTCCGAAAGTGGAATCTGTTTCTTTAGGATGATTTTTCATTATAGTACCTGTGCTGGCATGGCATAGATTGAGTGCAGAAAATATTATATATGGTCTACATAAGTTTCCCTTTTATGTATAGAGAGGGATGCTGTGCGTTATGGGTTCTCTTAACAAAAATGGAATCGTTGATTATGAGTTTCATACACACCTATTTAAAAGGGGCCTGGGGCGGCGGAAGAGTACTTTTCATTTGTTTACTTTGAAACCAAGTTTGATCAATACTTCACTCTCATTATAGTGCTTCGTAGGAAATTTTTGCAATTCGTCAAAAGCAATAACTACGTGAGATTACATGGTACCTGTTGCTAGTGGGAGATAGCAGGTATCCCGTGGAATTAGTCGAGGTGCGCGCAAGCTAGCCCGGACACCACGGTTATCAAAACAAAAAACTGCTCGAGGTCTCTAACATGCAAACAGCTTTATTTCCTTCACATCTGAAAATGATCTACTTTTGCTTGATGCCAACCAGAGAATTGCAAATGTCAGCTTGAGACAACAACTTGAGGATGTGAATTCCTTGTCAGAGGAACTGATTGATAATACCGTGAACACGTTTTTGGGACAAGTAAAAGATGGGACTTGGATATCTGGGGGGTGGCCGCAAGTGTTTACTGACTACTCATTGTCAAAGCTTGCAGCTAATGCTTACACCAGGCTAATGGCGAGAATACTTTCAGACAGGCCAGAGGGTCATAAGATATATATGAATTGCTATTGCCCAGGTTGGGTGAAGACTGCAATGACAGAGTGGGCTGGACATACGTCTCCAGAAGACGCTGCTGATACTGCAGTCTGGCTTGCTCTTCTCCCTGACCAGGTCGTGAGTGGTAAGTTTTTTGCTGAGAGACGTGAGATAAACTTCTAAAAGTGGGTGTTGAGGACTAATTCCAGAATCAGCTCACTTTCTTTTGCTTTGGAACAAGAATGTGATCGAGTACAGATTGAAGCAAGAATACTACTTCATGGTAATTATGTTACAATCTGCCTTTGCTTACTGCCCAACTGTCTACTGAAAATTGATATTGCTTATGGGAAACTATAGCTATCGGTATAAATCGTTAAAATTGATTTACCTAGTCTTCAAATTCTGGAGGATGTGTCAAAATCGGTTTCTACCAATCCACTTCTGGATAGATTGTCTGTAGTTTCATGTACCATTTGTTACTTTTGGATAGTACAGATTAGAGGAGCAGCATTCTGGTACTTCTAGTAGTGTTTTTTTGTAGCCCTGCAGGAGAGCATGCCTTTTTGAGTAATTGAAATATGTTCTTTATAATTCGGTGATGTTGAGGTTAAGAGAATGGAAATTTATGTAAAAAATGGGATAGGGATTGGGATTTTGACATATACTAAATTCATGTCGTAGCTTTTATGATAATTAAATTGTTTCGAGTCATTTCAATGAAACTTCACATGTTCTTAATTTTAAAAAATTAAACGGATTCGTGGAAGAAGAATGATATACGGTAGAACGTTAAGAAAAAAAATTAACTACCACTTTTTGTTTTCACTTATATCATTAGTTTTTATTTTCTGTCCTGCAAGTGAATATCCGATTTGAATTACTTTGTCAGTGATTTTATATCATTTTATGTATAGTTTATAAAATTACTTTTATTCTCACAGCATCAGCTTATGCCAAATGCATTGAAAATTGTAGACAATTTGCTCAATCTCGTAACTTTTGAGGTGGAAGGCTATAGTTAATGAGTAAAAACAAAAATAAAAACAAACTTTCCACTTACTACTTAACCGAAAACCTAAAATATTTTTTTGTAATGGAGTCAAACCTTATACTATTCTTCTATTCTTACCGGGTAAACTTATATTTCTTGACTTCATAGAAAATTACTAATTTGATACTTTGACCACAAGTATTTAGGTGTTGGTAAAATATTTTTCTTCAATAAAATTTATTCAATTTCACTTTAGAAATGAAGCACCATAAAGTGACATGGACCTTATCTACTTCGCAGTTTATGTTCCACATGTTTGCTTCTAAGTTTTTCTAGCTGATTTATTTATTCACTTGCTTACTTTTTATCTTTGAATACCCCTGAAGAAAACCAAAAACACAGAACAAGAACAAATGTTCCCTCCTATCAAATTCATCTTCCTTGTCACTGTATACACACTCTTGTTTCCTTCAATTGCATTTGAATCAGAATCCACAGACCCAATTCCAGAGCCATGGCCTCACCAATTCCACGCCATTACAATCATGAACTACACTCAAGGTCTTAGGAAAGTGGACCTTTGGTACGATTGGCCAAACAAAAGGTACATGCATATAAACCAATATCAATTGGGAAAGACTTTGTATGGTGTTGAATGGCAAAATGGTACTTCCTTTTATTTCACTTTGGATTCTACTCAGGAGTGTACTGTTAGGCATTTCCCAGTGGGAATTCTTAGACCTAATTGGCTTGAAGGTTCAAATTATGTAGGACAAAAGTACAAGGATGGATTCCTTTGTAATGTTTGGGACAAGGTTGGTTTCTTACGGTATTACGAGGATGCTGTTACCAAGATTCCTGTTTATTGGCATTTTTATGATGGTATGCAAATATTATTCTTTAATGTCTATAATTTCTTGAATTCGTAGGCATCTATTTTAGGGAAGAATTAGTTTTTTTATGCTTGAAACTTGGGTTATAAAATTTTCTGCTAAGACTACTTGTATGATAAAAAGGACCGTTCTTCTCGATAGTGAAATTCACTATTGTATGCATATATTCACTACCGCTAATGAGATAAACTTCAATTTTTGACACATTTAAGGTGGTAAGGCTTTCAAAGTTTTGCTACTGGAATTTTGCCATTAGGATGAACACTCCAACCGTTTCTTTAGCTGAACGACGCTTGTACTGCTCTTGATAAAGGGCAATCCGGTGCACAAAGTATCCCTTATTCACGCAGGGTTTGGGGAAGGGTCGCATCTTTAGGGGTGTGATGTAGATATCCTACCACTAATGCTTGCCCGGTGCACAAAGCATTTCGTATTCACACTGAGTCTGGGGAAGGGCTGCATCTCTAGGGGTGTGATGTAGGCAGTCTATCCCATTAGTAGCTGTTTCCACGGCCCGAACCCAAAATAAATCAAACATTCATGTAAGAAACGTAATGTAGCTGTCTTTCTCTCTTATTCTTTTTCCTTTATGATAAAGTTTAATTAATGCTTGAAATATGCGAAACAATGCAGGTTTGGTTGAACATATAATGGCATTTGAGGTGGAGAAAGTGCTGGAGGATTCAAAGTGGCAAGCCCCTGCTTACTGCTTCAAGGAGGTCGAGAAAGAAAGTATATCTTTGCTAGAAAACTTGGCTACCTCTCACTTCCGAGATGTCGTGAACGGGGAGGTAGCAGAGAATTGACATATTAATCGAGTGATCCTATGATAGACATTGTTTACCATGTTATGTTGCTTCGAGTCGGAAGGTGGAACCAAGTTTTCTTAGTGATGTTATTGTGTATACAAAGTATATATATATACCATCACTTTAATTTATATCTTGGTGACAATTTGTTCCTGAGCCGAGGGTCTACTGGAAACAACCTCTCTGCCTTCTTAAAGGCAGGGGTAAGGACTGCGTACACTCTATCCTCCCCAGATCCCACTTGTGGGACTACACTGGGTATGTTGTTGTTGTGACAATTTGTATAGACTTAGTATAAACAAGAACAAATTACAACAAGACATGTTAAAGAGGAGTCTTTAAATTTTCGAGTGTTAACGCTGATCTTACATTTAGCCATTTAGGGGTGGCATGTTTATCGGAATTAGGAAAATAATCCCGAAATAAGATTCAGCAATATTTTTTACTGCAATTTGTTAGTTTTCTGTATCTTGTATAACTTTTACCTGTATTGGTCGAAATCTGCCCCAGAATATTTAGAGCAAGGTAGCATTGAGGAAAGAGTCAGTCGAGGTCGACCGGGAAGCAGCAAGACTCGTGGTCGAGATGTCAACAATGGTCAAGGTTGAGCACCGCAGATAGAGCTGTAACAGATATTTTTTAGAATAGGATATTAAAGAGAACATTCTAGTGGATATTCTCTCCACTTGTACTATTAGGGTTTGTTAGGGGTATGTCCCATATAAATATAAAGAAAAGACAATGAGTGGAGGAATGTGACATTCATTTTTTATAAGAACAAACTTTTGAGAAAAGATTCCCTCTCTCTTATAAAGATACAAACACTACCTTTCATCAAAATTCTTGTTCATATTATTCCATACTTTTTCATTAGATCCGAGAATAATTCTAACATTCTAGGATTTGTCTGTCATTCATCATTGTTATGAGGGACAATCATCTAGTTCATCCTTTATTGGGTGAACCACTTCTGTTATTTACTTAAATGTCATTTATTGTTAGTTCTTCCTCCATTATTACTCGCACTTTTTGGAACAATTAATGCATATTACTGTTAGCCCACTATCAGATTTGTCTAATGTTATTCACGTTTTTGGAACACACATCTAGAGATATTATTATTAACTAATTTTAACCCATTATTATATAAACCCAAATGTTTTGGTCGAAAGTTACATTTCTTTGGTCAAACAATTTGGCGTCGTCTGTAGGGATTTCCTAGTTAAATTTTTAGTTTCTTCTAGATCTATAACTAACACGGATCGCTAACGTAAAAAAAAGCAAGAACAAGATCTCCTTTCTTTGTATGCACAAATCCAATATGGCAGGTAACAGAGAAGAAAGAATGAGAATAATAAGTGACCTACCAACCAACCTCATGAACGTCATCAATGAGAGATGTGAAACAGCGGACGAAGACGCAATGCCCAATGCCTCCCCTAGGCGATATAGGTCACCCTTCCTCACTGCAGCATCACAAAATCTCTTGGTAAGGGAGCCTCCATATCTGTGAGGGAAGAGACGCCCCCAGCTGTAAAAAAGCTCCTTGAAGCATGGCTAACCGACGCGCTAACTGGCGTCCTCAGCAAGTCCACCCGAGATACGGCTGTGGAAAATGCAAGGATTTTCATTGTGCAACAGGCGAACAAAAGTGTGCCCAACTCCCTCCACCTCCAACAACAGGTATTACTCACAACGTCATTGATAATGCAGGTGATAACGTTGTTGCAACTATTTTGAAAATGATGGAGGAAATAGAGAACGAGAACAAGGTACTCCGAGATCATATGAAAGAACACCAGGAAAGGTTCAATAAAATATTGGGCTCCCCAAACTGTTGCCGAAGAGAGACGCCGACCGATTTGTCGAGCAGTCATATAGCGACGATGCAGCCCCACATGCCATACCAAAGACTTTCAAAATGCCACCCTACCTAAAAATATATGATGGCACGACTGACCCTGAGGATCATGTAACTCACTACGTCACCACCGTGAAAGGCAATGATCTCGCCAAAGAATAAGTATCCTCCATTTTGCTGAAGAAATTCGGTGAAACCCTCACAGGAGGAGTGTTGACATAGTATTCACAACTACCTGCGCACTCCATCGAAACTTTCAAAGAGATGGACGACAAGTTCGTAACGACCCATGCTGGAGCCAAGAAAGCCGAGGCAAGAGTGAACGACATATTTGTTATTAAGCAGTCTCCGGGAGAGGGACTGAGGGACTTCCTCACCCGCTTCAACCGAGTAAGGATGACCCTACCGAACGTGTCAGAAGGGATGGCAGTCGCAGCCTTCCAGAACGGGCTGAGTAGGGACGGTTCGAGGGCGACTAAAAAGCTACTGAGTCGACTGATGAAGTATCCCCCAACCACTTGGGACGAAATACACAACGCATATTGTGCGGAGGTCCGAGCAGATGAGGACGACCTCAATGGACCAACTCATCGACTGACCTCGATACAGGCCGAATCCAGAAAAGATCGAAGAAATGATACCACAAGGGACCTTGCTTCTTCATGACCCAACAGGGAACGACATCAACCATATGTCAGAGCGGTCGTTTCACCCTCCTCCCGCCATGAAGAAGGCCCACCCAGATCAAGGACAGGGACTCATCGGAATGAAAGAGGTATGCCTCCTTTATTATCTGCTCATAACTTTTGTGTGTCACCTACAGAAATAGTCTATGCCTTGGAGGAGCTCGGACCAAAGGTGAAGTGGCCACAAAAGATGAGGTCAAATCCGAGTACCAGAAAATCGGACGCCCTTTGCGAGTTCCATCAAGAACGAGGGCATAGAACCGAAGATTGCATCACCCTAAGGCAGGAGGTCATAAACATGTTACGACAGGGACACCTTAAAGAGTTGCTGAGCGACCGGGGAAAGACCAACTTTGCCAAAGGACGCGAACAACATCAAGGGCCGCCAAAACCTCCCTCACCGCCCCTCCCCATCCACATAATCATCGTGGCGGTGAAGATGCTTCCATCAACAGCGTAAAGTTCACCACTACCCACAAGCTCAAACGGTCAATCACCCGTAAGCGGTACGACGAACTCGAAGAAAGTATCATCTTCGATAAGTCAAATACCAATGGTTTGGTTTTCCCTTACTATGATGCCCTTGTTGTTACTTTACAAATTTTAGATACCGATGTGAGACGCATCATGGTAGATGATGGGAGTGGCGCGTGCATTATCCATCCTCGAGTACTTGCACAAATGAAACTCGAAGATAAGATAGTGCCGCGTTGCATCACGCTACCTGGTTTTAACAATGCAATTGAGCAAACATCAGGCGAAATCACGCTCCCCGTTCTGGCCGGTGGCGTCACTTTTTAGACCATGTTCCATATCATGGACCAAGACACAACATACAACGCCATAATAGGGCGACCATGGATACACACCATGAGGGCCATCCCCTCCAGCTTATACCAGGTCATCAAATTCCCAACTCCCTGGGGGATATTCAACATACGAGGGAAACAACGCACATCTCAAGAATGCTACCGCATCGTCCTAGACTGCACGGCCACTCAACAAGCGAAAGACAAAGAGAAAGAGGCATAGAAATCAACATGGTCGAGGTCAATATGTGATGATAGCGAAGACATCATCAGATACCTCGATATGGTCGAAGCTGTAGAATTAACCATAGAATACCTCGACCCCGTTCAATTAGACACCAACGATCACAGCAAGAAAGCTTACATCGGCTGCAAACTTCAGGAACCAGGTAAATTC